AAAAAAAAACAAATCAAAAATGAATCAACGCAAAATGAAAACAACGTCGCGTCGCTTAGATTGCTGCAACATGATGGCGACGATGACAACAGTAACAACGAATTCGCAAACTCAGTATTAGATGGGCTTGATCTTGAAGTGCATTCCGATCAGCGAGAATACCAAACATTTGAGATCCTGAACGAGGTAATAGAACGATCGAAGTCCGTCTGGATCTTGACTGTTGCTGACGTCCGCGGCTGAACCGATTTTACTGCAACGAAAGAACACAATAGAATTACACTCATGGATCTTGAATGTACACGAAATAATGTGATGTAAACGTACCTGGTGGCAAACGAAATATGCACATCATTGTAGAGAATCTCAAGTTCCTGACGCCCTATTCGATCTGGTTCAGGCCAACTTGCATCATCTTCCTGAAATAATAATCAACATGTCTACTCTCTTTACGCAATCACTTCCAACAGCATTGAAAAGGATGCCTAACGTCCTCAACGCATTCGTAATTGATTGATTAGTTGCTGTTGCTTCACAACAATATCGACTTATAAATGTATTAGTTCTGATGGGCGGAAAAATTTTACAAGGAATTTCCAGAGAATTCATACATGAGAAATAAATTTCGTTCTAATGCTCTCCTCCCATCCATGCTTTCACGAAAAAAGTTCAACTTTAGTCACGAAATAATAATCGCCTTACTGCCCCTATGACGGCTCATAGAAAATAAAAAATCATCATCAGTGAACAAATCGAAAAAGAACAGCGAAAATTGAACTGGTATGATTTGAAAGTACCACCAGACACATTCTAAAACGAGTTAACTGAACTCATTCAGTTTAAAACTGTTGAAAACTGTCCACAGCGACTATTGAATTTATAATACCACAACACATCGTCGTCACGACTGATAGTATTAAAGTTATCTTCATCCGGAAAATTGCTAATAAAATAGCTCTGGAGACTCGCCTGTAATATCTCGGAATCTTCAACGATACGCTTCAGTTCATCCATTACGAGTTTACTCACGTACGCCTCTTTTCGGATGAGCGTGTCGTTCTTGTACTGACTGTTGTTTGCATAACGCAGTTTACCGTCTGGTCGGAATTCAAACTCCAAGAATTCATGACCAAATTTGCCACGATGACCCACATAGTAACGCAAATAGAAACCACCTTCTGAATCACCTGAGGACGGCATCTGAATAGATATTTATTTTTGAAGAGCAAATATATTACCGACGAAACATGCATCGGCTGCAATGTTACAAGAACTGAAACGAAATCATCAGAAGTAGTTCGCAAATGCGGTACACTGTAACCACTGCTCTCCTCCATACACTTCACTATGCAATGATAAATTTCAATTTATTCGAAATAATTCAAAAACAAAACGACAATTACAATGATCATTTCAAATACACCAAACATAACAACGTGAGAAAACTATCATCCAAAAACAGGAAAATAAAAAGGTTTTTATTCATTTGTTGAATGATCTAATGAAACGTTCCGATATCGTCAGTTCAACTGTTCCATTTAATCCGCAGCATATCAATACAAGATCTTTCCCATTGATTCAAATGATCAACAAATTAAAAAATAAACCCGCAGTAAAGTTTACTGTCGGCCTCAAAAACTTGTTACCCTTACGATCAAACGTTCAAACAATTTCACTTTGAAATCCCTGAATACTAACTGAGATGATAGTCGTGGACCCTTCAACAATACAATTCAACCAGACAATGTAATTTCAATAACCATCAACAAAGAAATATAAATGAATGAGACCAAATTTAACGCAACGATGACAATAATAATAATAATGATGCAGAAACAACAATCAAAACGTTGACCTCATAATGCTTGCCACCTTAATCCACTTAACGAGCAAAGCTAATTCCATCCAAACCAAATCAACTGGGCTGCTATTCAAATACCCTTAAACCTAATGAAAAACAAGATTTAACATCAGTTAAGATTTCATTTGCGTAATCATTACAACTCGATAATAACAATATAAAAACTTCATGAAGTTGCAACAAGGAATGTGCTAAGTGTTTGCGTTCTATGCAATACAGTGAACGACGTGCAAAGTTACATTAATCCTATCGAAGACACTCACATTCGTCCAATTATTTTTTTGCATATCATTTTGAGAACAAATCATTGAACTATTCACGTAAAACACTGCTCAACTTCCCAATTCGTCATAATTTTAGTTAATTCTTTCCAGTAAACATGAGGAACTGTTAACGATCTAGCAATTTGAATTAACAGAAAATGAAAATCATTCATGTTAATACATACCTTATATCATGCAAGAACAATAAAACCTTGTAAACTGGTCGTGAATAATAACGCAATCATTAAGTAGTGGCTACAATACGAGAATGCGAATACATTAGAAATAAGAAAATTTGTACGATTTTGAAGTCAACTTTAGAGAAATTCAAAAAATTGAATGAGAACAAAGCAGCATAACGCTGAATCAAGTTTATGTAAATATGCCTAGAAGTTATTAGCACAAGGTCACCGATAAATACCCCCACCCAACCCAATGGTGATTAGAATGAAGAAAAATGGACTGCACAACGAACAGCATCAGATTGGTTCAGGAACAAAGAAAGATCAGTTGAATATGGAGAGAATGCCAAACATTTGATGAATGAGGGAACCACAATTTCGTGACATTTCAAAATATTGAGAATTATCAAATCTCCGAACAATAATAATAATAATGAACCTGCATTATCCACAATCGGTATGAAAATTCAGGGTTGAAAACATATTACAACAAGACAAAAAGCAATTACACTTCCTTATAAAGTAATGAAGAGATGACTGAAAGACACTCTTAACTCACCAATAACACGATCACGCAGTAGCTTCGGTTGATTTCACGCTTTCAGTGACGGTCGCCTCAGGTCTACAAATCAAATAATACACGACCTGTTCGATGAGATGTTCCTTCCCCTCAGACAAACTCTCTGCTCATTAGACGAGCAAACAAAAAAGCTTATTATTGCAAGCCACCTCGATGATTATGTTTTCCAGCAATTGAGTCCACTAATACTGCTAATCATTCACTTAATATTGCTACGAAATGAAACCGGACTATTCATCAACATTCATGTAGGGTTGACCTCTACTTTCGACTTAGTCTCATCACGAGATTTAGCCTAAAATTCACTCGGAAGTTGAGCTCCACCTCCAATTCAGTCCAACTGACGAGATTGAGGCTTACTTGGAATTATTGCCGTAGGTTAAAGCACCATCACGTTTTACGAACATGTTCTATACATGCTTAGCGCAATACTGCAACTATTTCTTGCAATCATATAAAAGAAGTGATCAATTTACGTTTCTTTACTCTCTCCTTCGGCTGGTTCTTCCTGCCGTACTTTTTTAACGATAACAATACTTCTGTCTGTGTCTTCTTCTTCCCCAGCCGATCGCTTCTTATGACAATGTTCGTTTCGTTTATCACCACCTTCCTTCTCGCCATCATAGAACTCACGTTCATCTTCAACCATCTTATCACTATCTCGTACTGAAATCGTCCAATTCTTTCACCCTGTCTTATTAAAATACTATCGAAAAATCCATTCTTATCAAAAGTTCCACGCAATCAAATCATGGAATGCAAATATTCTGCAGATATTCCTCAGTCATATTTTGTGCATGTAGGGCACTTGTGTTGTCTCGTTCTGCGCCGTCTCAAAAGAAGATTTAAAAAAATGAAAACATGAGGAACCACTATATATGTATACTTGAAAATCGTCGGTCAGGATTGGCGTTGTCCCGTTCTAGGTCATCACTGACCACATTCACAGCATCCTCTTTGATTGCTGAAGCGATACAAATATTTTCAGCGAACCGCTAATATCACGAATATTATTCAATCAATTCACTGAGCATTAACAACATTAAAGCAAAATAGAGCAGATGAATGAAATGACAACAAATAAACATTGCCTACGTTGCATTTGAACGCTGGGCGCATGCGGAATATTACGAAGATTTTCGAATATTTTCATCCTGCAAATCAATCCATTCAGGTACATTCATCTGAGTATTATATCCATAAAGAACAAACGCTCACTTGCTACTGTATATAACACGAACACGAAATAATTCACACATTACTGGAAAGTCGCAAAGAAGAATATAAAACCGACTAAAAAAAGAAACTCACTGGATCTTCTCAATGTAGTCCGGTGTATTTTGATTGGTCATATTCGATGGCGTGATGTGAAGTTTAAAATCAGGTCCGTAATATTCGAAGTAATCATTGTAAGGCAACTCTGCAAATGACCAGCATAGAACATCAAATAAAACACAAAATATACAAACGCACAAATGAGCAAATACAAAAACATACATAAAGCACATAAAAATTCACTGCAACCAATGTTAGTATTAATGATACCACCCTTTTGATCCCAAACTCAAAAACTGATAACTAACCATTCGCAATTTCAGTATCGAGTGCAACTGACGTTTCGTATGCCCAACATCTAGCCACATTCCTTATTGTATAACCACCCCCGCCTAACATTAGCATTGGCAAATTGAATTTCTTCAAATATTCTGCACACTTCCCATGGCCTGTAACATTATATAAAACTATGCTACATATAACATAATATATTTATTCCGAAACATTTCAACTAATCTTGAGAACATTCAAAAATTTCACCGTATTCAACAACACACATTTCATACACTATCTGAAAGGGCATTCTATTCAAAAATTTTCAAAATCCAAAAGATTTTAGAGCGTGCAGAATGCACGAGCAATCAGTGACAATAAGTAAGCTCTAATATTCATTCTGATCTCGCGAACGTAGAAAATGATTTAAGAAACCTCTGAGTGTGAGATTGAAGCAACCGAGACGATCACCAGTCAGAGAATCTGCACCATTTTGCAGCACAATCGCTGATGGTTGGAATGAATGCATCACCTTAAAACATTCAATTCAACTCACTATTATGTATGGAAACAAAAACGGTTCCCCATCGAAATAAACCACGCGAATTTGCCAACCTTTTCCATTATCGGCTGGAAAACACGTTCATAGGTCTCATCATCAATACCGTCACGAAGCGGGCAATTTACAGCGTAGTGCTTGCCGCGTCCTGCCCCGATATCCTGAAGTTCACAAATGAGTAGCTTGAAGAGCCTGATCGATTTTTCCGTTACTGCGCTTCGTTTCACCCGAATCGAGTCAAGTCATTTATTTCCATGAGGTTCGGAGGAACTGCTTGAAGCGATCATAGAATGCTCGCCATGATATTTCTGACCGCTCAGGTGATATTTTGTCCACAACATAACCTTAGTGTTGCGATCCATCTGTTACCGCCTTGCGCCTGATAAATAAGGAAACCTTGCAGCAATCGAACACATTCTAAAAAACTAACTCTGAGATCACCAGTACCGGGAAAGTATTCACCGTACTTGTGGAAAGAGCATGTCATCACACGATCGGTAGTATAAAATGCCTCTTCTACTCCATCACCGTGATGAATATCGATATCAACATAGAGGACACGCTAAAAAAAACAAACACAGAACATCTCAGTTGACAACACAAAAAGAAGTAATGTAAGGATATGAGACATGATATGAGAAGACAAACCTGATGATGTTTCAATAATTCCAGAATTGCTAAAACAATATCATTCGTGTAACAAAATCCTGATGCTTCACTCTTCTTCGCATGATGCAATCCACCCATCCAATTTATGGCGATATCGGCTTGTTTCTTGTTCACCTTTGTAGCTGCCGCTGAACAAACCAATCCATGGAACTTTTCAAATAGCTCATGTCTGAGGACAGAACATTCGTGTGAACAAACACCAAAATTGTTGAACTTGTGGCCACTTCAGAACTCATCAAAATTATGTCAGAAGAAAGTTTCGCTCAGTGCACAACAGGTTTTGAAGCAAAACGAAAGACTTTCTGAACTGAGCAAGTGAAGCAAAAGATATACCTATTGAACCTCCGCTTGATATCTGACAGAATTCGAATAATCCATCAAAGACTGGACAATCTTCGCCGACATTGACTGAAAACGAGAAAAAAATCAGCTGAAAATAAACCCAACGCAACATTTCAGGCTAAATCTTAGACTTCACAGGACCTCTTCAAAATATAAGAGCCAGGGGCTACAGTTCGCAGTCGCTTTGATAAAGCGTAGTCACTTCACTACTGCTTCTATAAAAAAACTGTTCCTCGACTGCTCGTAGAATTGTAGGGAATGGAAATGAAACTTTACGAATGTAAACCAACATCGCTGAAGCGCTTTATTGTACTCAGTCATGTTGTCGGGTCGAATATTCTTCAAGAAAAGCATGTAATCGTCACTGTGGTACTTGGTCATCTCTTCAAATGTGGCGATTTGAGGTCGCTGAAGGAATAAATATTAAATCTGTACACGATGCATACGAACTTTTCCAATACATACCTACCACTAACTTTCAACTGGCAAACACTAATTTTGAATAAAATATCAAATAATGAAGTATCAAATAATAATGAAGTATCAAACACACAAAAATATCAAATAATGAAGCATTCAGCTTACATAAACTTCCATCTTCCTATACAGACCATAATTGAGTAGTAGATTGTGAGTCATGCGAATACGATGCGGCTTCATCGGGTGGCCTTGTCCATAATAGTAATTGCCTACATCACCTGAAATTCACATCAATGGTTAGCATTAACCACAGGCAACGGAGTAACAGTATATAATGAAACGAGAAAGCTGTGTGGTAAGATCGGATATCAAAGCAGCAGCAGAAAAATGCACTTTAATGACATAAGTGCACAAAAAAAGAGGAAACAAGCAGTTTTATAACGAACTTACCGTCGTAATAATACGCTATTCGCGTTTTACCATGCGCTCGAGTGGCCATGTTGTCTCGCCGATATTTGACGAGATTGTGGAACAACTCAAAATTGAACAAAATAAACCGATAGCTTGATAATGTGGTTGAGATGAAAACTGGCCTCAACAATTTTAAAAAATGATGGGGAAAAACTTCCCCAAGGAAGCAACAAGCACGAAAAAGTAAAAACAAAACAAAACGAAACATAGCCGCCTAACGCAACATACGTGGTGGTATCGCCAACAATTTGGCCGGCACTACAATACAATACTAATGCAACATATGAGTATTACAAGGATTAATTATTACTAACAAATGCTAATTTTGTAAATTGGGATAGATCATGAGTTTGCTTAAGGAATACTTCTACATTCTTATCATACCATTCAATCCGTTACGACTATAACCTTCCCCAATGAAATCAATTCACCCAATGAAATCAATTCACCCCTCACTGAAGATTCATTTCTGAACGAACTACGTTGACTTGTGGTAATATTGCCTATATTGGCGAGTCGTCGGTATTGTGAAGTCAACAATGAGTCATTGGTTTCTTCATCTGATAAGACGTCGTTCAGGCCGTTTGACCGTCCTTGTTGAAATCCGGAGGTTGAGCGCAGTTTCGATTTCGCTCGGTTTTCTTCCGCTTACTCTTAGTTCACTTTTTAAGTGGCAGTTGAGTATTCGTTGTTTTTTGATTTCAGAAAAACACAATTTTTTAATCATTGTGTACGAAACATTGTGTTGATTTAACTTCTTTCAATTTCAGTGATATCAGCCGACTTCGTTCCTTTCATAGTTGCTTGCATCTGAAAATACACACTCATGTCGCTCGATAGTAAGTTTTTTGTTTAAAAGCACAAAGCTCTTTTCGAGAACTGCATGATGGAATGACTGCGCCATTTTTCCGCGTTTCGGTCGTTATATAAGAACTTTTAGATCATCTATTCAACCTGAAATTTGCGGCCAAAGAGATGGAAAGGAATGCCAAGAAATGCGAGAAGGAAGAAAAAGCACAAAAGAATAAAGTAACTGACGCAATTAAGGTGAGCATCAAGAAAAGGAACTGTTAATTTGAATTGATAATAATATTGAGAACAACTTTATGAACGTTACTTTGCTGAAAGACTTGGTTTTAAGCCTGTTTACGACAAACCTGTCTGCTTGAACTGAATCTCTGATCGAATGTTAAGATTGACATCGCAGTGCATAATTGTGAACTGTCGTTAATAAGTTTTGACAGCAATAATACCATTTACGTTAATGATAACAATAACAGTAGTTATTGAACTTATGAGCAGTGATTGGCCGCAGGGAGAGTGTGCCAGCGGGTAATCACCGATTAGCTACTGTAGAATATCTAATCGAGTTCAATTCAGAAAGGAAATATGGAGATGGCCCAAGTGCATGCCGAGAACGCGATTCGGAAGAAGAATGAGGGCTTGAACTATATGCGAATGTCAGCACGCATTGATGCGGTGGCAGCTCGAGTTCAAGTTGGTCCATATTCATGCTTTCATCTCTCTTAGTTGCCGCTTAATTTCATATATTATCATTACTAGTGTTAATGGTATTCGGTTAAATTCAGTTAAACATGCTGTTGCTGCCATGCTATATTGGGCTCATTTAAACGTGATTTGCTTGCCACCATGGTCGAACAATTATGATGTTTGCATTAATCAATCTGATCTCTTGTTGTTTCTTACAGTTAGAACTTTGAATTTCTCTCTTAAAATGTAATGAAATGTGTGTGCAATTTAGTCGGCAGCTACGCAGAAGCGCGTTACTCAAAGTATGTCTGGTGTGGTGAAAGCAATGGAATCGGCAATGCGTTCGATGAATCTTGAGAAGGTGCAGAATCTGATGGATCGTTTCGAGAAGGACTTCGAGAATCTGGACGTGCAGTCGGCCACTATGGAAGGATCAATGAATGCAACAACGACGCTGAATGCACCACAAGCACAAGTCAACGCACTTATACAAGAGGCTGCCGATAAGGCTGGGTAGGTGTACATTACAGTGGATCAACTGCGAGCTCGAGAGCTTATGAACGATAACTTTAACTGATCAATTGGATCTTTAGAAGTCTAGCAGAAAGCTACTTCGAAAATTCACTTCACCTGAGATCAATTAATGATAAGTGCGGTGAATTGAGAAGCTGAAATGAACGTCGATTGGTGGTGAAACTTTTTGAAGTTAGAAAAAGATGAAAGTAGGAAAGATGTGCGAAAGAACAGTTTGGAGTTGAGATTGTCGAAGGGCGATGGGTAATTGGATTAAAGCGGAAAGTTACGGCGGCATATGACATGTCAGCAATATAGACATTTTGGTCTTGATTATTTAAGGGTTTACCTGAAATGAATTTTCAGACTGGAACTGAACATGGAAATGCCAGCTCAAGCCACCACGACGATCGGAGGTCGCGTGGCCACGTCAAGTGCTGAAAACGACGAGTTGACCCAACGTCTTGCTGCGCTCAGGCAAAACTGATCGCGTGGAAATAATGAAACGATGGTATTTGATGCTTATAGAGTGGTTTAAATCAACAGAATGATTCCATTGCTTTTATAAAACTGTTTTTGACTGATATACACATTGATGGTATTTGATGCTTACAGAGTGGTTTAAATTAACAGAATGATTCCATTGCTTTTATAAAACTATTTTTGATTAAAATACACATTTTTATTATGCCAGTCAAGTTATCAGAAGATTTTCGGAGCGAACTTCTACATTGTTGGTCTCATTAATATTTGATCAGTGCTAGTCTGCAACTTCCTGAGGAGTGATGCAATGACAGAAAATATTCGAGCGTTTTGAGTGGGGAGGAATTTTTCTTTTCAAACTGGGAAAAAAATTTTGCTAGTTTCCAAGGTTCTGGTAGAGAAACTAGAAGAGCGCCGACTTCTGATGTTTCTTTGATGCAGCAGTATCATTTAAAATTATGGAATTTTCTCTCATGTTTAATCGCTTTATCGATGTTAATAAGTAAGTTACCTTGTCATGATTGTAAAAATAATTTTTCCTCTATTTTCAATTTCAATGAGAGTATGTAATAGTTGTAAAATTATTTTTCGCATTTCTCAAATGAAAAATTGTATTTCTTCATTATCATGTAATTCATTCAATTCCATAAAGAATTTTTTTTATTGCATTTTATTTCTACAATGGAATTTATATGCGGAAAGAAGTGCAAAAACTGTACACATTTTGAAACATGAACAGAAATACCACTGTGTTCAGTAACAAAGGTATTTCTGTTAAGGATATACGACTAATTAACCAAAAACAACAATAATAAATGGACTCTTCAAAAAGAAGTGCAAGGTTTCATCTGGCAATCGACCAGGGCCAATTCTATTCAAAACGATTCCAATGATCAAAATGATACTGATTTATGTTCAAAGCGAGGAGGGTTCATTATTCTTGTAAAACAACAGCACACAGATAGCGACAATAGTGTCAAAACAAAGTGACAACTCTTAATTTCCTTTCGATATTCATGAAAAATTTGCACCAGCAAGCGCTGATCGAACTTTAACCAATATCGGATGCTGCGGGTCCTCCGTTGTCAGATAGTTTAATCGCTCCATATAGGCGTTTATGTTTTTGGTCACCGATGGAGCACCTGAACGTCCCACCGTTATTATCAGTTCTGTCACCGAATTTCATTAAAACTGTCATCATCTGTTGAGGCTCGCTATCGGGAGATATATCATTTGCACCGAAACAGCCCATTAATTGAAAAGAATTGACGAGTCTGATTAGAAAATTACAATGCTCTTACATGAGTTAATAAATTTACATGTATTATTTAATGTATTGAACGAATCGCCTAAATATGACTTCACGTAGTTACTCCTACAAAAATTCATGTAGTCACTTTATGTATATTCGTTTTATAACCATCTTCAGCCGTTCTATAATTGTTCATTAGACGTTGGAAGCAAAACTTTCAAAAACTGATACAATCTAGATGATATACTACAAAAATGCACCGGATACAACTACACCACTGAGCGCATTCGTGATAACATTTGACCAGTTCTCACGGCAGTTCAATATCTCTTGTGCACGAAAACTGTCCGTTTGTTGCTGTTTCTTTGCTGTTGTGATATTCATCTTCAATCTATAAATATTCAGTTAATTCCAATAATGGTGGTAATACAAAATCAGACTACGACATCATTTGAAAGCCCAAAAATAAACGAAGAGTTAGTGAATTATTTAAACGTATTCAGCTAAAATTTTCCGCAAATTCTGTACTAATATTTCCTATATGAACGAAACCAGAACTTATTCGGCTCACTTGGATATATTTTCCTTCAGAAGTCGATTCTCCTCTTCCAAAACGCTTGATTTTTGACGTAGTTTTTTAAGTTCGCTCTCTTGCTCTAAAAACCATGCCGATGAATTCTTCACGACGATAATTTCCGTATACGTTCGTTCATACCATTAAAATGGGATATTCATACGAAATCTTCGAACAAACTAACTTACGGACCAAATCAGCGAATCATATAACACAGTGAAAAAATCGTTTCAGAAGCCCAACTAATATTCGGAAAACCAACATGACTAACCTTTGTTGTACTCCAAAAATTCCATGTTGAAGATTGAAATGTCACCAATTTGGGTCCTGATCTAAAATTCAACAAGCAGTATGAACATTACACTTATAGCAACAAATAAATATTCCTCAGAAGCAAAATCATTAATTCACTTTTGGAAACTCGAAACACTTCATCAGTAGAAATGTGTCTAAATTCTCCTCAACTCACACTGTTGCTAGGTGCACTGGTATCTGCAAGATCTGCATCGTCGTCGACTGAGGTATTCAGGCACCTTGATTTTCTTTTGCGGTTTCTCAATATTTCTGTTTTCTTCTCTGAAATCAATAGGAAATTTTCTATGATAAGATTTGTTTTCTTTTCATATTCCACACTCGAGACTCAATATTTCCGTATATTGAATAATTAAATCAAGGCATTCTATAACAACGAGGCATAACAAGCAGTTATGGAATAATAGCGCGTTCCCATAATCGTTACTACGAATATTGTTATAACTACACTGATATTATTGATGTTATCATTACTCGCGTGATGAGCATTAATTTCTGATCAATATAAGAGAAAAAGAAGCACTGAGGCAGGTGATATTCCGTTGAGAAGTAACTACTCTTTCATCAGAAAATTCTAAATTCAGACAATGACTGTACCTTGGAATCTTTTATATTCCTCAGTTTTAGAATACGCTTCCATCTTCTTCTCATAATCCAATCGCAAAACTTCAGCTTTCTCGACAAAAGGCTGAAATATTTTGAACAGAATGATGGTGTCGCACCTGACTCACATCAAGGCTATAGAACAGTATTTCCCGACGGAACGCTAGCTCCTCTTATAGTCGTTGCATTGCTAAAAGAGTGCACTGTGTGCTTGTCAGAAAGCAGTGACATTCATCTACTCCTTTCAAACAGTGCTTTCAAAAAGAGTAGCAGTCGAAAAAAAAACGTTGGAAACAGTACTGTAGAAGATACATTTTCAAAATGTAATGCATAATGCCCAAAAGACCTAGAACAACTTTAAATTATCACTCGCAACAATTTCCACACAAAAGAGCAGAAACACCTTCAAAAAGATTCAAACGAAACACTCCACGGAACTTACACGCTTCTCGTCGTCGGTCATTGCTGCCCATTTATGACCAATTTCGATCATCAAGGCGGACATCGAAAACTCCTTCGGATCCTTTTTCTCACCCGTTCGCCTTTGGTCACTGAAGGCGAACAAATAAGACAGCTTCTCGAAATTATGTACAATAAAGAAAATATGGATTATAGATGTGACCACGAAAATGCAAAGAAGTCATGCAGAATCGTACGTCATGAATAATGTATAGGCGCTGGGTGGTCGTTTTGGAGCGTTTTCATCGATTAGCATCTTTCGGTTCTTACGACCCGTGAGACTGCATGTGGATTTTTGACTCTGAAATAGAACAGCATCAACAGAGGGTATCAGATTCCTCCTTGAAAATGCATCTCCTTGGAGGTTAAAAACGCCTGATAAACGGCCATCAAATAAACATTCTGGATTAGTCTTCATCGGTATGAGTAAAGTCTCACAAGACTTTCAATCAGCAAGCTAGATCAAACATAAATAAGTCAATATGAAAGACTAGATGGAATGCAGAGTGGGTGAAATACCCTGCAGGGTAATTCTCGAATGTAACTTCGGTTTACAGATTAATCTCATCGACGGTCTTGATGTTTCTGAGAAGAGATAGTAACCTTTTCTTCAGAATATTTGAAAATTGTACTAAAATATATTAATATGTACTAGTTTTATATATACTCTGAATATCAGACTATCCATAATGGTTGCCTACTCCAACACTGAAAGAAATTTTAACCTTTGCAGACGGATTCGGTGCCGGCGACTTCTGTGGCTGGCTCTTAGGAGATTGTACTGCACTGTCATCCACATCAGAAAGCTTTTCTTTTTTAACTCTTTTCATTTTTCCTTAACGATTGATCTACAAATCTGAAATTTAAAGCATTTACCGAAGTAGAGATCATCCTTGAGGTACGTAGCTACGTGAACAATTCTCTCAAGTTTTAAAGAAATCACTCTTTCCTTACGAATTAACACATCGACTGACCAAAGGATCGAAACCGGATAAAGGACAGCCAATGGAAGAAATTCTAATGACGTTAATTAATCACGATGGGGGTTGAAAGAGGAATACAAGTTATGTCCGCAACTGATCTTTCAGTCGCTCATCAACGAGGATATCTTTGATCCAATCTGCCAGCTCGGATTTAACATTTATCATAAAGAAAGATAGAATCTTAAGCGCTTATTTATCTAAATATGGAATCACATCGCCAAAAAATGCTCGAATTTTATGAAATAATAACATGAAGGCAATCCTACGGGGGACTGAGCGTTTATGAATATATGCGATTAACTTTCGCTAAGCTGACAGTTTGCCAACTTGAGTGGAGTAACAATTCGCTAATTGTAAATGACGGATATTCTGAATCTAATATTATAACATTCTGAATCTAGAGGTTCCGCTGGATCGAACGGTAAAAAGAAATTTGTATGTCTCCGGGCAAACCTGAGAAGACGGTTAGCTCGAAGATCGCAACC